TATGTTTTGCGTGAGAAAATAGCCCTACTTGCAGTAGAGTTCGAAGCGATCGCTATAGCCTCGTCGCTTGTACAAATATTTCCCAATCGCTATTCATTTCTTCTCATTCAAGGCCCTACAGCGGAGGTCTTTCAGGGCAAGGTGCGCTTTGGAAACGGTTTAGTACATGTTGTAGGGACGCATGTATGGACCACAAAACCATGTTTCGTTTTCGCTGAACGGTTTTAGTAGTACCAAAAAAGTGGTGAATAATACTCTTGATGGTTCAATCCCCCGCGGCGACTAAATTTTGCAATCAAGGTTGGCGGCCACTTGTTGGCTTCAAAATGGTCCTGACGATGAACATCTGATTTTGATATTTAGCGCGATTTGGCACCAAACCGTAGGCGCCAACCCAAATGCAAAATTTAGTCGCCACGGGGGATCGAACCCTTAACAGTACCTTATAAGGCGAATGTGTTGCTCTTCTTCTTCTAACTATGCTGCCTCTTCTTTTACTAACTATTCAGTTGGGAGTCATGAAGTCAATCTTGAACTACATATTATTTGATCTAGCTTCTTGTCCAGGGTTATACTTCTCTCTTGACTCAGAAAACCAACCTGTTTTTTTCCCAGTTTTCTTTTATGCTTGTTTTCGCGAACCACGACTATGTATGTATGTAGCTTTCAAAAATCCTATGCAGCTGTTTTAAGAGGGTTCGAAGCACTGCTATGTCACGTCGCAGCAACACTGATAGCATAACGAATTCTGAAGTGGATCCTGAGGATTCGTTCAATGATTCTGTACATTTCAATGATTCATGGTTTTATGGGCCACCGAAGAAGAAACAGGTGTTATCCAATGATACGCAGGAAAACAATCCATCTCCGGTCAGTACAAAGTCGTCTGAAGTGTACTTTAAGTCACTTAACTTTCCGTCTTCAATCGATACGATTACTCAAATTTTTCGCCCATCCTATGTTCGTGGGCGAAGGTAGTGCTGTGGCACAGAGCTTTCATTCATGTAGTCCAATCAAATTCTACATCGAACCTACGAGTCGGCCGAGCATCCCATCCGCTGTTGTAGCTATAATTGGTTCCGGATTCAGCGGGGATGGAGCCACTGACTTTTTACATCTGCTGAACTACTCAGGCCGTTCTAATGGTCCAAATTTTAGATTGTCCTGAATGGCTGTCGAATGCATGGCTCATCTTAGGGAAAGATCAAGACTGAGCCCTCGATGGGGCAAGTGTGTGAAGTTGTGGGTCGCCCATTTCGAGAGCACTCGTGATTTCAACGTTACTAATTTTTGATCCTTTCATGATATGCCTATTCCGTATGTGCTCAAAACTTGGGATACGATTGTTTATACTCCTTATGTAACCCTGCAAAAATGGTGTAATGGTAGAGGGTTGTTATCACCTGCAAGGTATGTGGATCGATTTACGCTCAAAGCAGCTATGCCTCCTTCCAATTCTGGCTCCTTTGCTTAGTATGATCTTACATTGGGCCAGGGAAGCTCAGACTCAAGCAGCTTGTCTTCAATTTGTTCTGTGAAGGGTCTGGGCAACGTGAAATTTCCTTCGAAACTTGTCTGTTTTATTCTTTTACTTCCTCTGCGATTTGTCCGTCGTAGTACCCTTCGACAACCAAACCCAAATAGGGCCAGTTCTAAACACCCGCTAACGATTTAGGTGTACTTGTTAGCTCAACTTGTATGAGACGTTGCGAATGAGTGCGCTTGACTTTATTCAGTTTGTGTTCAGATTCGAACTAAGCGAGCTTCCTTAGTGGAGAAGAGTCTTGGAGAACTGGAGACGTTTCCTAAACAGCGTTTGGCACTTGCGAAACTCGAAGAGCACGCAAAAGTGTTCAAGAATACTCGTGTCTTCAGTTTCGAGATGCCAGGACATTCAGGTTTCATTCTATCAAACTGTAACGCC